GACGACCATGCTATGTTCTCCACCTTACAATGATTCAATCCATTGAGCAATTAAGGCTACCCCGCACTGCCCTATTTCTGGGAATTGGCCAAACTCTCACATATAGCTTGAAGCTTGGCATCGACGGAGGAAGGGAGAGGTTTGTAATTCCCAAACTCACTACAATGAGGGAAATAGAGGCGAGTAAAGTCACCCCTAAGCTTATAAGCCGAAGCAGCCTCTTCGGCATGGCCTTTTTTCTCTGCCAAGCCAGACAAATATCAAGAACTTAGGTAAAGAAATAGGCTAACCACGGATGGAGCAAAACAGGCAAGCGATAGAGACACAACACATAGGTATATTTAGATTGGTTTTAGAAAAAAATAACTTATTTTAAGAAAAATCAGATTGGATAATGTAATTTATGTTTGGATTGGTTTTTATAAAAGTTAGTTTGTAAAGTAAAAAAATTGCTTGAATTATGATTAAATAAGTAAGTTTAGTTTGTAGAATGACCAAAATGGGTATAACTCTTATTAAATAATGAAAAATGATTAAAAATCTGAATTTACAAAATACAATAATTTTAAATTATTATAATAGGAAGAAGTTATATTTAATGAATAAAATATATTTAAATTAGAAATAATAGTAACATGAAAATTTTTGAACCAAATAACATTACATAAGTAATTAGATTATATACTTTGCACAATTTATGTATATATAAATAAAAATAATATTAAAAATTGGAAATATTATAAAAAATGTTAAAAATTATTTTTTCTTAAGAGAATATAAAAAATAAATATATAAAAACTGATTGGAAAACACAAAAAATATATAGATAGAAGCATAAGAACAATATAAATACAAGAGTAAAAAAATGTCTTTTAATTTTAAAAGGCTACTTTTACACAAGTTTTTTTTAAATCGTACTTAAAAAAATAATTTTTGACTCATAAGTCAAATTGGACAAAAACTATTACAAATAGCTCCTAAATTTATAAGTTGACTTATCATACTTATAAGTTACTTTTTACCCCTCTAAGTGCCCCACCAAAAAATAGGCACATAATTTCTGTAGCTTATTACATTCACTTCTCTCTAAACATTTAATTTTTATAATTTCTTTTGACATCACAAAAATCAGATATGTCTAAATTAATTGATCTTTTATACTGCTCTTTTGAAACTAGTAAACGCTATTATCATCTCGTGACACAGTAACCCAAATAATATGGTCAAAATTATTACTAGCTTCTTCTATAAAGGCTTGTTGTGCAGGAGTTACTAAAACTGTTTTTTCTGCCTCTCTCATTTCCCATGTCCCGATTGCTGGCTCCTTCATTTTCCATTTCCATTTTTTATATCTTTGAAACTTTTTACCACTAAATCACTTGCTGGCAATATATAGTCTTTAGCACATCCTAACAATAAAAAAAATGAGGTCACAATAGGAATTAAGTATTTATTTCGAATATAATAAGTGAACAGAATAATATATAAATAAATTCTATATATTAAATGCATTTTCCAAGGCAATTTCATTGTTCACTTTTTTGCCCTCTGCCAGTCACTTTTCTCATCATCTTCCTACTTCATTCTTTTTGTGTTGTAAGTTCTACACTTTCATTCATTTACCCTTGTTTTCTCTTTTCCTTCTATTAACATAGGTTTGAAATATGGTTTGTTATTGTCGTGATTTTCCGCTAGTTGACCTAGTTTGTGAATTTGTGTGTTTGAGAGATGTTGTATTACGTGTGATTTGTGATTCATTTTGGGGTTCTCACCAAAATTAGTAGTTTTCTTTTATTTTTTTCATTGTTTAAAATATTCTGAGTTGTTTGGCTGGTTTTTACTGTATATATGGAATTTTGTTGCGTTTTGATTTTTGTTTTCTTTTCCCTCCAACTGATTTTTGCTAGAGCCTTTCCTTTTGGTTTCTTAGACTAAATAAGTTCTATGTGTCTTAGGTCTTGCTAATAATGGATGGTCTATGTTGTTTTGTTGAGTAATAAAATAAATGGCAACGGCAACATGGGATATGTTGATAATGGAGTTGAATATGACCTATTTAATGGGACTTCTCTTAAAACAAGTTTCAACAAAGATTATACTTTGTATGTGAGGCACGATCACAGTAAAAGAATGATTTCAAAGAGTTAGCAACGTTGTCAATCTAAAATCCCAAAAAGGTGGAATTCTTTGAATCCATAGACCTTATGCATGAATTTAATGCTACATTTAGGAGCATGGCAGTGATGCCTCAAAATTGGAATCCTCTACTTTACATATAAAGTCTTGTAATGCCCGACTGAATTGGAAATGGGTTAATACCCGAGTGAATTGGACACAGGTCAGCTTAAATTGCCTCATGTACTGTCACAATTTCTCCCCATTAATTGGCATTTGATGAGCAATAATATGAGAAGATAGAGAAACACATTATTCTTTTATTATTAGTCATCAAATCTGTCCGTTCTCTATCATTAGCATGTTACACTCTTTAAAATACAACTCCCAAATTCATCACTTCTCTACAATGAGGATGGGTTATATGACGCTTTAAAAGGCATGCTTCTTCGTTCTCTATTACAGCAATAAGCTTAATGGCTCTCAACAATCTGGCTGCTCTACTCATTTCTTCCCAATGGACATGCTTTTGCGGCACTGCATTTCATTTTCTGACAGATCCCCTTACCTACGTGGTGTAACACTGTATTTGATTTTCCAATACTAGGCTGGTCTGACAACCTCAGTGAGTTGGTCATTTTTGAATGCTTTAAAAAAAAAAGCTTTTTTCTTTTGCTTCCTCATTTTGTGCCCAATTAATAAAATCATCTGCAAAATATGCCCAACGTCTTGTTGTGGCATGTGTTATAAGGAAGTGGATTGTCAATGGTTTCACCATGCACTCCTTCCTAGATTGGAATGATTTTGAATGGGACATGAGTAGGTGAGTAGGTGGCCAACGTTACTTATTTAAGGTCTATTCACTAACTGAACCTGTAAACGTTGTGCAGGGTACTCGGATAGAAGGTTACATTGTATTAGGGGGATTGCTAGAGTACTACAAGAAGGATCCTTAAGATGGGCAAGTGTACATCACTTTGAAACCTTTGAAGTAGTTGGCAATGAAACCAGAGTTATCGCACACTCTTTGAAGAAAAATAAACCCATAATCGTTAATTGCAGTTTTCTCTCTTCTTTTCCTTTTTTATTTTCTGCTTATTGAATGGAAATATGGCTTGCTTTCTTCGTGTGTGTGGAAAGGGGGTTTAATATGCTTTGCTTTGTCAGGCATGTCAGTGTAGTGTGAAATGATTCTGCAGTTTTTTTAACTCTTTACACATGTTTTCATACAATTTATTATGATTATATCTACTTGCCTAAACAATCTATTACAAATTACAATTTTAATCAAATGTATCAACCTGTGCATTGCACGGCGAACAAATTTCTAGTTGGGATGAAAAGTGAAAAATTGGGCTGTTTGGTAAGAAGGAAGCCACTTCTTGTGGAACCCAAATGGTGGGAAGTCGGTTCCTTGTCGACCCGCATGGAACTGGATAGGAACTCAATTTCTTGGACTCTTATGCCATTCATAATTTGTCTAACTGACAACTCCACCTTTTTAGTGCATGTTTGGATTGCCATTTCCAACAGCAAAAGTGTCTTGGAAATGGTAAAGTTGAGGTTGCAAACTAAGTTGGACAAAAAATATTGTTTGGTTGGGCTAACTTTTCCAACCAACATCTGGCCTTCAACTTCAATTGGACTCAATGGAGGAAAATCTGACTTTTCAAATCGCAGTTTCAAACAGTGATCATTAAAAATGAGCATCACAGATTTACCCTCACATTTTCCCCTTTGCCTCATCTCCTTTGTTAGCATATTGAGTTTTTATTCGGACCAAATGAATTTTAATTTATATTCATGTTTATCCATTATATATATTTAATTAATTATTTACAATGTGTTTTCAAATTTATCTACAATGTATTTTCAAATTTTTCTCCGTAACAAATATTTTTATTTTATAATTTCACAAATAAACTATTTATATTTTATCATAATAATTTTATGTCTTTTTTTAAACTATTATCACATTAAAAACATAAAATTTCTAACACTACTATTCAATAAAATCTATATTCCTTTTCAATTATTTTACAACTAAATTAACTTTTCTATTAATCATTCAAACAACTTTTAACTTTTTCCACTGACCTTTTAAAAGCACTTATCCAAGCATACTCTAACTGATTTTTACTCTAACTTCAATTATAAAAGTTAGTTGGGTTACAAGTTAGTTTTGCCCAACACCAATCCAAACATATTCTAAAAGGGCCATTTTCTTCTTCATTTGTTTTCGCTGTGGTCGTTCTAATATACTCGCGTTAAGCTTCTCAGGTTATCAAATGTCAATTTCGTTCTGCCATCTCCATTTGTGTCTGAAATTTTCGCTCTGCTTTCTCTTTCTTCTCCTCGTCAGTGAAATTTCGAGGTCTGGTGTATCGGTAGATCTCTAAATCGACAGTAAAAGCAGTCATTGTGGGTGCCGTGAATAATCGGTCGGTGAAGGAATATCATCATAGGGGTGAGAATCTAAGTTTTCAGAAGGCAGCGATGAAAGCACCAGATTTCTAATAACAGAGCAAGTAGACGGTGAGAAGCTTCTGAACAGAAAGAAAGGAAGATGATTTTTTATTATTATTTGTTTTAAGTTTGTTTTTCGCAAGATTCATTGTTGTTAGTACTTGATCACTAGTTTAATTATTTATTGATGGATTGTTGTTCTTGCTCAAGGTAGATGTTCCATTTCTATGATAGGAAGGATGAAGAGGATGAATGAAGTTTTGATCTTTTTATCCTGAGAATAAATGTATAAATATAAAATAATATGAGACTTCCATTGGCATACCAAACAACTTTAAATCTCACTCCCATTTGCAGTCCCACTCCCAGTTCTACTTGCACCTCCATCAAATCCATCCCAAAGTTGATCTAGAGGGGAATCATCTGGGAACAAGCTGATCTAGAGCGGAATCATCTGGGAACAAGTTTGCAGGAAGTGAATTGAAGTCAAAGTGGTCATAGAAGGGCTTTGCAGAAGCCGCATTGTTGGTGGCAGTCAAGTGATTGATTCTTTTGTTGAGAGATTCGACCTTGGTGCACAGATCACTGACTTGAGCTCGAAGAGCAGAGATTTCATGGTGAACGCTGGAGTGATGTTCTGGGCTGCGATTGGCGCTTGTGAGAATTTGCCGAGGCTCTTTCTCGAGCTGAGCCACTTGAGCCCCCAGATCGTCCAAATGCTTCGGCATTCTTATTCTCATCCGACGTCGCCTTGCTACCTTGCGATTCGATATCATCCTCTTCCTCTTCCCCAGATCCATCAGAACCTGCAAATCCGCCTCTGATTCAGAGTTGTGAGATAAGGACGACCAACCAGAACCTGAAGATGGATCAATTAAGTTTAAGTTGAAAACGGACAGAAGCTTTTTTCTTGACAACGACTCCAAAATAGAGCAGGATTCGAGTTTGTTCATCTCAAAAATGAAGTGTTAAGACTTGAATCCAAGCAACAAAAAGTGAAATAAAGGCAAAGACAGAGTGATTGCAAAGATAAGTTTATTTTGATATAAATTCATGTCAAATATTCAAAAATTTAATTAAAGAAGGATAAAACAAACACATGCAGTGGTAATGTTCATATAAGTATACCATGCAAAGTAGAATGATATCCATGTAATAAAAGGAAGTCAAATTTTGATGGGGATATGCACCAATCATCACATTGTCGAATGGTATAGTCCAAACCAAATCTCCCTCGCCCGAAGCTTATATCCTTCTGTGATCTATATTTATATTGAGCAGTAACATCAAGCTGACTCTTCAAGTTTAAGCAATGTTTCTTCAACTTTAAATAATCATTTGCAAATTTTAAGTGGTTTAAACTAAAGAACAAGATCACAAAAGAGTTAAAGAAGTTTTAAATGGACTTGCCCCATAAACTTTGACAAAGTAAATAGCAATTTGATCAACAGATCTGAATGAAAATTTTAAGGATGTCAATAATTTAATTTGTCCTGAAAATGGTGCTCTTAAACATATTTTAAGCTTGGAAACTTCAATTTTAAAAGCTTGACCAAATATTACACATAGAAGACTCATTAGCTTCTAATGCATCATGTTTTGAGTTTAATATGCTAACTATATTTTATTAATTATATTTGTGTGAATATTACTACATCTGGTCCTTAATATTCTCTCAATTAAACTACACACTAAATCTTATAGTAAGAACCAAAGGTATTAAAGACCACTGAATCAGTTGTTGGCAATCCATAGTCTTTAACACATTCTAGCGATAAGAAAAAATGAAGTCACAATAGGAATTAAGTATTTGTTTTCAAATCTAATAAGTGAGAAGAATAAAATATAAATAAATTCAATATAAGATGCATGCATTTTGATATCCATTTTTTAAATATCCTAGAAACAAAGCAATAATTATGAGGTGATCATAGCAACTGCTTAAATCAACCCATGTTATAGCAACCATATAAATTATACAAACACACACACACACACACACATATTATTTGTAAAGTGGGCTGTAAATAGTTGAAGTTAAAGCGCATGTACCTGTTTTGAAACCAACATTATTTCTCTTGACTTTATTATCGGAATGAACCCCTTCTCTTTTAATTCCACAAGAACTTTCGCTTTCACTTTCCACTTGTGAAGAGTGCCAACGTGCTACTTCAGCATATAATTTTCCTTTTTCTCGATTCAAGTCACTCTTAAGCAACTTTAATACCACATTCAATCTTTCTTCATTGCTGTCAAACTGTTTACGGTTTGTATCATTTATATGACTGAGTGTTTGTACATCCATGTACATTTGTTGTCCATGTGTGTGTAAAAACATTTACCCTATGGTGAGGAGAGGGGCAAAAAGGGAAAATTTTGATGAGTTCAATTGGAAAAACTCACTATTGAAAAACAGCAGATTAGCAACAGAATTTGCAACGAAAACAAATTCTGTCACTAATTTCTGATGGAATTGTGACAGAAATTCCGTTGCTAATTTTTCCAACGGATTAGTGATTAAATTCCATCACTAATCCGTCGATAAATATTTAGTGATGGAATTAGCAATGGAATTTTTTCCGTCAGAAATTTCCGTTGCTAATTCCTTTGTTAAATTATTTGTCACAGAAGTTTTCATCACTGATTCCATCGAAATTTTGTCACTAATCCGTCACTAATTTTAAATTTTATTATTTTAAATTATAATCTTACAACAATTATATAATAACAATTAAGAATATAATGATTTAAAAATATTTTTAATTATAAAATAAATTGATATATTTGTGCAGTTGGTGTTAATGAAGATATCTTCATCATTCATGTAATTATTAAGTATATACTGAAAATAGGAAGACAATTTCTTGAAAAACTTGTTTATATTTCATTACAATAAATTCCTCTTGATTATTAATAATAATTAAAAAATACAATAAGAATATTAACAACTTTCTTATACAAACTGATATGAGAAAAAAATAATTTTATCATATGTATAATATATTGAAAGATATAATATATGATAGAAATTCAAAACTGAAAAATGAATTTATATAAACGCAAACTAATATTGAATTGAATTTTGAATTTCAATCATTAAACAATAAAATTTAATTATGATATAATTAATACCCATGATATAGATTGATTTTGGTCTTCAATACAAAAACAAATAGTATATATAAAGAATTCTAAGAAAATAAATTACATATGATATATATACAAGTAGGAGAATATTGTTTATCATAATCTATTCAAATCATTTAGTTTTTTATATAGAATAATTTATTAGATTTTATTATAATAGTTATTTTTTGGGTAACAAGATTTTTTGACTAACTGTAAATAATTTTCATCAAATATATAAAACACACATAGAAAATATAATATAATGTAATATAATATATGTATAATTAAATTGTATATCTTATCAATGCTATTAAAAAAATTATTTGTGATTTAAAATTCAAAATTAGTGTCCTTAGAAATTAAAATTATAATAAAAATATTTTTTTAAAAAAAATAAAACATTATAAAACAAATAGTAAAACAAATATTTACAAATTATTTTGTTCTTAAAATAGTTATGATTAAAATTATCATATAGTATATTTTTAGTTTTTAATAATATATATGTATATATAATTGTTTGTATAAAATAATATTATATATATTTAATTTTACATAATAAGTCAACAGGTTTATTACAGTTCAACTGGTAAAGCCGCATGCGCACCCAGACGAGGTCCTAGGTGGTAACACGTGGCAGATAGAGGTGACATGTGATGTGCACGTTTTTTTGTAGTGATTGAAGAAGTGATGAAGAGAATATGTAAGACAAAAAAAATTAATTAACAACTTTTAACCACAGCTTCTTCAATTTTTTAAATCAAACTCATTAAAATTTTTTCTTTCCTCCCTTCCTTTTCATTTTTTTTGTACCAAACAGATCCTTAAAAGTAAAAACTACGCAAGAGAATGTACCTGAAATAAAGGCTTTCCCCTCACATAATTATCCAATCGTTGCATATAATTGATCACAAATATACCACAATCATGCCTACATGTTAAAGAAACAGGATCCAGTTGAATGCATGTTTTAATTAATTAAGTGGATAATTTTTCAATAAAAAAATTCTTAAACTCACCCATTATGCTGTAACCGAATATTTCTCATCATTCTCGGGTAAAACTCTTTGAACTTACCATCCCTGAAAAGTCTATCCATGGCAAGCAGCTACACAAAAAAAAAGATTAATTCTAAAGAATTAAAAGATCAGTCCATGTAGTAATTATATGATTATCATAACTCTATGATGCTTACCAATTTCTGTGTTGTTTGGTCACGATTAGCTTTATCTATAAATTGATCACATAGAGAATCCCATATCTCAATTTCTTGATTCTTCATATGAATAATATATAAATAATAATGTCCGCATGAATCCTTTTTGACATGAACAGGGATAAATATCTGCCATGTGTGATCAAACGAATCAAATTGACATATAGCCAAAAAAAAATCATTATTATGAATGAAATGTCGATTACAACTCAGACAAAAAGATAATACCTTCTCACAATCTTTCAAGTCATCAAACATGAAGTTCTCTCTCAATTTTTGCCGTTCAACAAAGTCAAGGAAGGAACTTGCATCACTATTGAGTGCTGCACTCTGTAATCACATCACAAAAGAACAACTAAATATTCTGATCGATGAGATTGTTTTAGATCCAAGAACTAACAATCTGACATCTATCATCCAATTGAAAAGGGAAAAAGCAATCACCGAAAACATCACGGGAAGATACCAATTGACAGGTTTACTTTTCTTCCTTCTTTCAGATTCGGTCAAGATATCAGCAAAAACATCTATTATCTAAGAAAACGGGAAAATTGAACAATAACATACTCAAGACCTTGCTCAATAATAACAGAATATATAGAGTAAACGTACAAGTAAATACTCACCCCCGAATCCAAAAGAGTTTGTGGTCTAAGTGTGATCAATTGAGGCTGACGCAGATATAAATGTGATGACCGAAAAAGTGTACACGTCTCACTAAAGCACATACAAGGTGACTGATTTAACCATGCTTCAGATTAAAATACACACAAACAAAAACACCAGTCATATAGTTATGAGCACATGAATCTAACCTTGAATAATTCTCAAACACATATTGTATCAACTGCAAGTCAGGTTCATTCACAATATTGGAAACATAAAAAGGACCGACTTTAATCCTCTCTTGATGCATAGCTTTTGTGTCGATGTTTTCTTGCTGGAGAGCCTTTATCCCTTCCCACATTGTTTTAGGGGACATGTAACAATCAATCATTCTTTCATTGAGTCTGTTATAATCTCTTGGTTTATCCATTGTTAGTAAACCTGTTTCATGCATAATAAAGCAATGAGTACATTAATTAGTCTCGAAAGTCACAACACAAATTCAAACTTTTTGACTATATTAATTAATAGTGACCATGCTATTAAATTAGGGAAAATCAACATGCTGTTTAAGGGGGAGAAAATATAATTACCAAAAAGTTTAAAAACAAGTGAGCAGCATTATCAGACATGTTTTATATCCTCACTTGTTATTAATTACATTCCTTCCTTAGTACTTCCTAATGATTTTCTCATTACATTAACCATCACTTAGTTCATATGTGTCATTCCTTACCCCAATATATGATTAAAAAAAACTGAGGAATATCTTATTTACAATTAAAATACTAGTTAGCACGATCCCCAACTAATACAATCCGGAACACGCATGAGGTCAAAAAAAAAAATCCAAAAATCATGTACTGATATTTAGGCGCAGAAATATTACAGATAACAATATTTATTTACATCCTTTTCTGATCAATTACTTTCGCACACTAGTAATGTTTAATTTCATTTATATTCAGGATTCGAAGAATAACAAAATATATGGATGTCATTCATACATGAGAGACAATTGTATTTTTGTCTCTCTTAAGGAGAGATTATAACACTTTATTCCTTAGTTGGCAAAAAAAAACAAATAATACCCTTTCAACATACCAAAATATCATTCTTCCTTCAAATGAAAAGAATACCACCTCCAATTATATTAAATACTACCTCCAATCCTTAATATAAGAGCTAGTTGACTAATTTAAATAAATTAAGAAAATTAGTTAAGTTAGTTATTTGTAATAAATAGGTATTGTTTTTTTCCTAAATATTCTTACTAATCAAGTGTATTGGCTAGAACTACTATTATTACAAAAATTAACTTGAGAAAAAATAGATATAAATGGTAGATAAAATGGATTGGTATCTGATATTTATCACTAAAATAAAAGTCAAACAAGCTTTTATATTAAAGACTTAATTTAAGAAGATTAACAAAAATTAGTTATGTTGTTAATTGTAATAAATATGTGTTGATTTTTCTAAACCATTGTCTATTCAAATTGCTCCTTAGCAAGATCTCTTACTATCAATAAAAGTGTTTGAGAGAAAACATTATAAATTTTTTTAAAAAAATTGATTCAGATCTAGAACCAAATTTAATATTAAATTAGCTATGCGAGCAGGTAGTATTAAATACCTTGCGAATCATGGAGATCTTGTTTCTGGCTGGTGCCCTTGTAGGCAACAGGAGCACACGGTCGAATACCCTTACACTTAATTTGATTAATATGCGATTTGATTCGATTATTACTTGCTGCAAATACAAATCCACAGTGATTGCACTTTACCCTCTTCTCCTTTCCTTCCAATACAGTGACGTGTTTCCACACTTCAAGTTCCTTTGGCCTTCCACCTCCTTTCCCCATTACTCCATTATCTTCATCCAGAATCTCCGATCCGCTTCTAATCACGCATTCAATTTAACTATGGAAACTCTAATCAAAGCGAAACTAGGAGAAAAAGGAAACCCAACTCTAAGTCCGAAACGAATAAGTAAATAAAGAGAGACAGTTACTTACATCAGGATTTTGGAAGATGATGGCGATGATGACTGGAAGCCACAGAGAAGAAGGAAGAAGATAAGCTACCAATGGTCGCGTCCACTTTGAATTGCCGGCACTTCTTTTTCGCCGTAACTTCGTACGCGATATTTTTTGGGAAAGTTTTAGTTAACTACCACAAAAGGCTTAATAAACTTTTCCTCTCAGGAGATTCTGAGGGAGATTCTGAAAATTCAATTCAATCCCTCTAACCAAAATGAAATTAAATAACAAGTAAAAGGATCATTTAGCCCTTAAAATAGATAAGGCACAACTCCACATATAAAAATTTAAAACAACAAATAGTAAAATAACAACTTTACGTCTAAAAAAAATTCTAAAAATAAAAAAATAAAAAATGCACAACTCTATATGTTAAAATTTACAATAAATAGTAGATGAATAACAATTATAGCTCGATTAAGACTTGCTCCTTTGATCTTATTTAGAGAGCAGAGAGGTTTTTTTTATCCTATTTATAAATCATTTTATTAAATTTTTACTATAAATGTACCATATTATTTTTTATTTATTATAGTATAGATAGTTATTTTTTAAATGATTATATATTAAATAGGGATAAAATTGAAAAGCTACTATATTTTAATGAAGAGTTAATGCAGTTTAAGGTTTTTCTTGGTTTGTGTGAAACATGTTAGAAGTGCTTTATAAATAGAACAAGAGGAGTAATTCATAAGAGTTATAACTCATCTTGTGAGTTCTCAACCCAATTAAAATTCAGTCTCTCAATTTTTTTATTTAATAAATCAATCCTAATCATTACCCAACCATCTTATGTGGCAAGTGTACTGAGATCAGCGCCACCCACTGGGTGGTAGGACAAGTTCTCTATGGCCAAGACGAGTAAAGTTCTTGTCGCTGTTGTAGAGGCAGGGCTTTCTCGCTTGATTGCTGCCAAATCAACTCCGAAGAACTTGCATTGTTTGTTACCATCTTTTTAATACTGATTGAAAACGGAAGTGAAAATGCCAAAAAGAATAAAAATGAAAGCATGGTCCTTCGGTTAAATTTGCTTTAGTAATTCTACTAATAGTTCTTTGCCTTTTTCTCGTGAGGTTTTTATTCTGCTTATGCTGTTGAATATGACTACATTCCATCATGTTTTGATTTCGGCCTAGTCCTTTAACTTTTGAATCTTTTTCTAATGCCGTCTTCCTCTTGTTGGAGAGAAAAACATTTTTCTTTAACTCTGAGATAGCAAGCAAGTCTTGCCCTGTCCCCATTCCATCCTACCTCGGGAAAACAAGGAAAGGAATGGGGCTAACAGAGAGTTAAAGCATAGAGATAAAGAATTTTTCAGAATCTTTTGAGACGGAAAATTTATTAAGTTCATATGTTGGGACCTAGCCGAAATTTTTCCTATAAACTAACCAGAACCAAGTGGCCGGGCCACAAAAATAATTATAATCATTTTAGGGATAATTAATATATAAGTCCTTATAGTTTCAACTAGTTTTTAATCAGGTTTCTATAATTTTTTTTCTTTTTATCAGGTCCTTATACTTTCATATATTTTTAATCAAGTCCTTATAATTTTTTTTCTTTTTATTAGGTCCTTATTGTTTTACTTTGTTTTTAATTAGGTCCTTGTAGTTTTATATCTTTATTTTACAAATAATAAAATTTTAAAAATAATAAATTATTGTAACAATCTTATGTTAATATTCTTTTAAATTTTTAGTTAAACAAATATATTATTTATTTTCAATTCAAATTTTTATAATTATAAAATTCAAATTATAATAATAAATTTTTCTAAAATTAAAATATGATTATAAATAATTTATAGTTAAGTATAATTATTATTGTGATTATTTATTAATTACTAAATGATTATATTAATTATTTTGTCCAATTATATAATTATTAATTTTAAAATGAAATTAATTTTAAAGAATAAATTTAATAAATAATTTTTCAAAAACTACAAAGCACCTAATTAAAAAATAAGTGAAACTATAAGGACCTGATAAAAAAAAAATAAGGACCTAATTAAAAACACACGAAAGCAAAAGGATCTGATAAAAAAAAAAATTTTATAAGGACCTAATTAAAATCAGATGAAACTATAAGGACATGGAGATTATTATCCCATCATTTTAAAAGTCAATATTGGCAACTTCCTTATCCATTCCCGTCAATGAGACGCAGGGCGCGTTGGCAAAAAGAGAGAGAGATCCAGGACCGAATATTTGATGTCGGCAATGTAATAAGCACCGGGTGTTTTGTACTTTTCAAAAAGAAAATACTAATATTGAGATTGCAAATTAAGCCACGTTATGCTTTGAATCATAGTCCGGTAATTGCGTTCACATTACTGGCCATGATGAGAGCCAAGAAGAAGTAATTAAATTTTGTGTAATCAAATATTCAAATTCCTTACCAACAAGCTATTATTTGAGATGGTAAGCCTTCTCACTTCTATAAAATAAAAAAATAAAAACATAAGTTCAAATATTAGAAAACACATTTATTGGGAGGGTTTTAATCTTAACGCTCCTGACCCAATAGAAATTAGTCTCAAACCCAAAGTGAAGATACTCTAAAGTATATCCAAAAAATATTCAATTCCTTTCTACTTGAATTTTAACTTCTTCCCCAGTTTGCACTATAAATCATTCACCATCCATCCTCACTGACTAGGCTGTTTGAACTACTCATTAGAACAAGGGGGAATTACAATCAAGTCCCATAAAAGAGAAATAATTACTAAAAGGTTCTAATAACAATCTCAACAACCTATAATGACAAGTCGTATAGTGATAATGACAATTTTTGGGACTTGTTTTTCAATTGTTTTTCTTACTTGAGACCTCATTGTAATTCTCTCTTAGAACAGAGGGTATCAGTTCATCAAAATAATTAGGTTGCAACAGTCCAGGGCATGCCATATACTATCTTTAATATAACAACTAATTAATTAATTTAAGTAGATTAAAAAATTAATTAAATTATTTATTTATAATAAATATATGTTGTCTTTTCTAAAATATCCTATTACTCATACATATTAGCTAAGTACTATCATTTGATGGAATATTTGATATATGCAACTACTACAAAGACTATCTTAAAAATTAGATAAATAAAATATGAAAATAAAATAGATTCAAATACGATGTTTAGGACCAAAATAAATGTGAAACTGACTTTTATATTAAAGACTGAAAGTAATAT